TTTCTCATTTGCTACAAGTTTAAAATGAAAAACGATATGCTTTTAAGGTGAGAAAACATAAAACGCTTTTTTGGCTGGCTTCTTCGTAGGGGAATAAAGGAGTTTTAGGTTGACATAGTTCGATTTTGGATCTAGGCTCCTTTGTTCATTTCCGAAGAAGCCAGTCGATGACTTAAGGCTGTCAAAAAAGCGTTTTATGTATTCTCACCTTTAGTTGTTGTTAATGCTCAAGCAGCCGGACAGTTGTTACAGATTGAGTTTAGGTGTCAATCCTTGGCCACATACAGTTTGTTCCGTTACACATTGTAAACCGGACTAATGTTGAAACTAGGATGTTTGATTTATTTCCTTGTCTTTATTGTTTAAATTTGTATTGTCCTCCTCAAAATAGGCATGAGAATAAAAAAAACACATCTAATAATAATTTAAACAAATTGCTGTCTATATTTCTTCTAATATGACTTTTATTTGTTCATTATTGATTTTCTAGTTGAGTCATTTGTTGTTGTGGTTGTTGTCGTCCGTCGTATGTGAGTGGTAATCACAAATAAGTGTGTGCACGTTTGTCTTCATCAATTGACAACAACAACATTGTACTATCCTCACAACACATACCCCATATTCTAAGTCGATTGGAATTGTTGACATCTAAATAATACCTAACTACAAACCTACTACCTATCAACATAGAGTGGAACAATAACGTCACGGAAAATAATAACTACAAAAAACGAAGAAAGGTGGCTCCTTAACCCGTTATGGATAATAAGGCAGCAACAACGTTACAGCCAAATACACCATCTTCCAAACCCGTGGATGTTGTGGTGTCGCCGGTGGTTGTCAATAACAACAACAATAATAATAACAATAGCATAAATACGAAGATAACCACCACTACTAGCACCACCAGCAACGGTATCAAGGAAAATAACAGTAATAATATAACAACGACATCGGCGACAACAGCTTCCATACCAATTGTGGTTACAAATACATTGGCCAGTGGTAATACAAGTTCCGGTTCTTCTTCATCGTCGTCGCCTCCATTTTCAGCTGCTATCAAAAAGGAGGTAAGTTAAATAGATATGTTTGCATTGCATTCCATTATGTGTTGTACATATACATGCCAACATACCACCATCCCGTATAGACGATATGAATACACATATGTTTATGAATGGCTTCAGTTTTCTTCTTTGCAACATATTACAATTATTGTTAAGACTTGTATTCTTTTCACCCATTAGTCTACTTATGTTTTTTATTTTATGTGTTATTTGTAAATCAAGCATTGAAATTTGTATCAAGCATCTTTGGATTTGTATTCGGATGAAGGAATGGGCGGCTACTTATGTTTAGAATATTTACATATGTGATACTATTTCCCATCAGGATTTTAGGTCCGAATGAGAAGCAGTAATAATTTAGATACATCGCTTTCCTTTCTTTGATTCTATTTAGAATCAATACCTATAGAACAATACCTATTTTAAATATCAAAAAACCCATGGGAATTTCCCTGTTTTTTTTTTTTAACAGATTTTTTTGGAAATAACAAAATATCAACTAAATTTTTTATTTTTTAAATATCAACCACTGATTTGGTTTTAGATTAATTTTGGAGGAATGGTCCAACAATTTATTTAGATTTTTATTATATTTATGCTACAATTTTTGTATGCAAAAGTCATTAAAACTCATGTTTCCTCTTTGCAGGCCAATAAAGAAAATCTAAGCACACCTCCACGGGATGCTCCCCCACCAACACCCATAACTAAAGGTTTAAACTTAACTACAACACCCATTGTGAAAAAGGAGAAACGACAAACAAGTTCACGCTACAATGTGTCAAAGAATTGTGAACTAACAACATTGCCCATCTTAAACGAGAGTAAGTATATAATTGCATTCCCTTTTAAAAGCAATCAAAAAGATACAGATATGATATATAAAAAATAAGAAAATCGATTTAGAATAGAGAAGGCTATTCTTTTTTATTGAAATACAATATAATGCACTCGATGTACATCGGCGTGGCTCTTTCAAAGGAAGACATATTTGAATTTTAAAATTATTTTTTTATATTTTTTTTTTGTCTACAATTTTCTAGGTTACATTTCTCTTTTTAAAAATGTAACTTTGCAATTTGTGTTTTAATATGTTACAAAGTTCTAAGAATCCAGACGAATTGTATTTTTCCAATACGCCGTTGGATTGCTGATAGATAAGATTTTAGATGAGTTTCCCATTTTTTCAACCGAATTGGCTGTAATTTGGGAATACGGATTTTAATGGATTTAAAAAAATTATAGGTCCAAAAACAGTACTTCCTGAAGTTTGACAATAAACAAAAACCTTTACGATTTTGAAATACTTTAGGTTACAACGGTACGGTTCAGTTTGTCAATCATCTTTCTAGGCAGATCTGTTTAGATTCGTTGTAGAGAATGAAGATAGTCGATGAATTTAAGATTTCCTAGTCTATAGACTCATGTTAATACTTCACAGTGGTTTTTGAGTTTGGAACTCTACTTCCAGTCTTCTGACAGCCATCTTAAATATTTCGATGGCAGCGGTACAGCAAGTCTAGATCAATGAAATATAGTTCGGTTTTATACAGAACTATTTGCCAGGGGCTGATCTCTAGGGACCCATACAATAAATCTTAATAGCGTTATCGTCTAAAATTAGAGGTTGTATTGTGGCCAGGGATAAATGCTGTCAGCTTTAATTGACCTAATCCCGATTTGCTTGGTAAAAAAAGCAAGGTATCATGGCACAGTCCGCCAGACATAAGCATCGTATCGCACATTTCCAAAAAGCCAATTAGGTTAACCAACAGACATCAGTGTACACTTGCTTTGGGGTTGCAATGCGTAACTGGATGTTCATCCATCCAGACCCTCTTGTGGTACATAAAATCCAAAAGATATGGTAAGGAAAGTCCAATGTTATAAGAAAGATTCTATACAGGGTGAGATAAAAAAAACTGCAACAAAGTCAAAGGCCATAATTTTTACATTTCTTATTTTAAATTTTATTGAATGAAACCAAACAATTTCAGAAATAGCATCAAATTTGAGAATAAGTTTAGATTTGTTCGAATTAGTCACCTCTGGCACGAATTTTGGCTTTGAAAAGGCCGATGAAACCGTTACACACTGGCCGAATGTTGCTCTGCGGTATTTTTGCGAATCGCTTGCTTGAGGTGATCGACACTTTGGTATTTTTTAGTGCCAACCTTGCTTTTCCAAATACTCCAGACACAATAGTCCAGCGGATTGGTATCCGGGGATTTTGGTGGCCATTATGCGCTGGAATCGTTCCTTTCATTTGTAACCATTCATTTTGTAACCATTCTTGGGTGGCGCGTGCTGAGTCCTGTTGGAATGTCCAAGGTCTGCGGCCAAAATGTTTGCGTGCCCATGACTTTAATACACCCTTCAGAATATTTTCGCGGCATTTATTCTGATGACACGGTAGTTTAATACGAGCAGCGACCATCGGCTGTTATGGCAGCCCACACCATCAGTATGGCCGGCGCTTGAGTTCTGGTGGCCAACCGAAGATGCACATTTTCAGCTGACCTCTTTCGCAAGTAAACACGATCATTTTGTTTGTTTAAAAACTGCTGGACAACGAATGTTTTCTCATGGAAGAAAACTAAATTCGGCAGTTCACCATCAACACTTTCTGCCAAGCGAAGCTACTCTTTAGCTCTTTTGAGTCTATTTTCTTCTTTGGAATTTCCATGGCATTACCCGGAGCTCATTTTTAAATATTTGCCAAATGGAATATTGCGATATGTTCAGCTCACGAGCCATTTTTCGGCCAATGCGTCCTGGGTTTCGATCAAGTCGCTTCTTTACTTTCGAACTTTCTTGACTTCGGGTTACGCTCCCAGTATCACGGTAACGAGTTTGTTTTTCCCGCCAAATATAAAGAAATCACACGCTTGAATTCCATCACGAATAATTTTTTCTGGAAAATGCTCACCAAAATGCTTTTGTACGCTTGTAAACAACGTAATGAGCTGTCACTGGGGTAATTTTAACAACTGTCGGACGAGTGGCTTAGAAATGACAGAAGTCTGAAGTTGGTTGCCGTTTTTTTATCTCACCCTGTAAAATACGCTAACGAATTACCTTACATTGGGACAGGAACTAAATTTTTACTATTTTTTTTATTGAAATATTTTGTAAAGAAACCCTTCAGATAGAATTTACAATATTCATAAAAATGGAATCATAAATGCTTCATGTTATGATAATTTAAAAAAATAAAAAATAAATAATATTTTTTGGCTGCCTTTTATTAGAGAGTAGAAAGGGAGCTGAATGTGGAAAATTTCACACCTCCTCTTTTTGTACTCAAAAGCAGCCTATAGTTATGTTGTTGAAACTTTTAAGATTCACGCAGAAAGTTTCATGAAACAAGCAAGCAGGAAATTGGTAAAGGAAATAGTGTGATCCTAATCACAATCATTTCTATTCGTACACATAAATCGGGGTTCTCTTTCATGAAATTTTCTGCAGAACAACTCTTGGGTTTGGCAGAGTTGTTCAAGTTTCTTTTATTTTCATAACACCAACAAACAGCTGATTGTCAAACTTATAATAAAACACTACAAGGGCCTACTCTCACACTCTCCCTTTGCTAATGTCCATAATTTTACTCCCAATAACAATTTAAATACATTAATAACCAATTTATTGCAGTTATTGTTACTTTTATTATTTAATTACACTACTTAAAGAAGAAGCAGAAGAAGGAAAAAAATCACAGTTTTCTGGCCACACCATTTTCATGTGGTTTGGTACATGCGCATTACATTTGCTTCGCTTACTCTCTTTCGCTCTTTCTCTCAGGATATGTCGTCGTCGTCTTTGGAGTAAAAACTGTCTTGGCTGGTGGCAGTCTTGTCAAAAAGTTTATTGATTTGTTTCGTTTTTCTATTTTCTACGTTTTATTATCTATACGACAAGTGTGTGTTGTTAGCTCCTCAGTTAAAGTTTCAGTATATTGTAGTTATGAAGTGAAAAAATTTTATAGCAAAGTAAAAGAAAATCATTTTCATATAAGAAAAAAGAAAAAGAAAATATGATAATAATCTAATAAGTAAATTTGCCACAATACTAATAATTCAACTACTACATTTCAAATTAGGTTATTCATTTTAGAAGGTAAGCAAAGCAGACCCGCCAGCACCAGCCAGCTATCATCATCCAGCAATTCATTAACCACGTCCACATTACCCTAACTTACTTACCGGCTGTCTCACAAATCAATACATAATACCCACCTACCTACCTACATATCTATATACAGTTCATATAACACATTTTCTATTAATTTGTAATGTTATTGTTGTCGTCGTCTTCGTTGTTGTCGCTCAAATAATGTCTTTATTTGTTTATTCTATTTAAACAATTTTAATTATTTGTGCCATTTTTTTGTTTGTTGTTGTTTTTTTTTTCATTCGTTCCACCAACAACATACCTATCTATAGCCATGTAGTTTTCTACTTTAACCACAAATTGTTATACATATGTATGTATATACAAGAAAATATATGTGAACATGACAAAAGTTATTTTCTTTTTTTTTTTCTGCCTTTCCCCATTTTCTTGTTCTCCCCAGTTTTAACTGCTGTGTAGCATGCTTTAGTGTTTCTTTTTTTTATTAAATTACCATTATTTCGTTTTTAATTGTTTTAAGTTCAAGTGTCGTCCTACTCAATTTTCGTTGTTTAGTGCCACCCAATTTTGTTGAAACTTTCAAAAATTATTGATTGACACATTGGTGTCTTGACATTAAGGAAACCCAAATACAACAATACTTGGATCGATCTGTGAAAGAAGTTGTTGTTTTTGGGTTTCAATAGAAATTGTGTATTGTTCCCAAAGCAGCTCCTTATATGGTGAGGATAAAATAAATCGAAATTGATTTAAACTTTTCTTAAAAACAATGGTAACAATTTCCAATAATAGTGTTAAAAATAGAGATAATGGCCTCAATGTCCTACAATGTGATGTGTTGTGGCAGTGATACATGAAATACACCAAACTGGCCGAAAACTGACTTTTTGTTTCATGTGAAGTCGGCATCGTGCCACCAGCTCCGAAAGGGAATTCACTTCACTCGGAGGTCTCTGGTCCAACGTGTTCATGATGTATGCCTAGAAAAGCTCCTAGATTGAATAGTCGAAAGAATTGGCGAGATTTTATGTTAATTGTCATTGGAAAATCATTTTTGGTTTGATTTGGATTCCAGCTACACTGGAATACTCAGCTCCTTTTTATTGAGGGACACAGGAGTCATAAGGAGGCACCCTGTTGCAGTTCTCAGGTCGGCATTCTGGCAGGTCTGAATACATTTCCACTGGAGCCGCATAGCTAACCACAGACCGACCTAAGAAGAGGTCAGATAGACCCATAGCTCCTTTTGATGATCTCCATAGAATCACATTCTGAGTCGATTTATGCATGTCTGTCCGTCTGTCCATGTATTTTTGTAAGCATGAAATTGTGCACAAGACAGTTGTTTGAACCAAAGACCATCTCTATTGAAATTGGAGATAATCGTCAAAATCTAGATATAGCTCCCATATACAGGGTGAGATAAAAAAATGCAACAAAGTCAAACGCCATAATTTCTACATTTTTTATAACATTTATTGAATGAAAGCAAAAAATGTCGGAAATAGCATCAAATTTTAGAATAAGTTTAGATTTGTTCGAATTGGTCACCTTTGGCCTTCAAACAGCCAATGAAACAGTCACACGCTGCCCGAATATTGCTCAGCGGTATTTTGGCCCATTCCCGTGGAAGCGCTTGCTTGAGGTGATCGACACTGGTGTGCCAAGCTTGCTTTCCAAAATACTCCAGACACAATAGTCCAACGGATTGGTATCTGGAGATTTTGGGGGTCATTGAGCGCTGGAAATGAAGCGAGGAACTTCATTTTTTTCTTGGGTAGCGCGTGCTGAGCGCGATGGTTCTGAGTCTTGTTGGAAAGTGCAAGGTCTGCGGCCAAGGCTTTAATACACCCTCCAGAATATTTTCGCGATAATATTCGTCATTTATTCTGATGCCACTTTCGATTAATACGAGCGGAGAGCTGTTATGGCGGCCCACACCATCACCATTGCGCTTGAGTTTAGTTGGCCAACCGAAGGTGCACATTTTTAGCTGACCTCTTTGGCAAGTAATTTTGTTTGTTTACAAACTGCTGGACAACGAATGTTTTCTCATCGGAGAAAACCAAATTCGGTAGTTCACCACTTCACCACTCGGCCAAGCGAAGCAACTCTTTAGCTCTTTTGAGTCTATTTTCTTTCCGTTGCGTTGTAAGTTTTTGCACTTTTTGGAATTTCAAAGGCGTTACCACGAGCTCATTTTTCAATATTTGCCGAATGGAATATTGCGATAAGTTCAGCTCACGAGCCATTTTTCGGCCACTGCTACGCGGGTTTCGATCAAGTCGCTTCTTTAATTTTCGAACCATTTCTGCTGGTCTTGCTGTTTTCTTCCGCTATCACGGTAAGGAGCGATGGTACGAGACACAAAAGATCTATTCACATTTAAATGCTGGAGTGCTCTAACGAAAGCCACTTGTGGTTTTCCAGCCAAATATAAAGAAATCCCACTATCACGCTTGAATTCCATCACGCTTAACTTCTTTTCTGGAAAATTCTCACCAAAATGCTTTTGTACGCCTGCTATCAATATAATGATCTGTCATTGGAATAATTTTAACAGTTGTCGGACGAGTGGCTTAGAAATGACAGCAGTCTGAAGTTGGTTGCAGTTTTTCCATTTCACGCTGTTTATTTATTATTTTGAGGAGTTCCCCGTAATAATGCATGGTCTCAAGTTCAACCAAGTCATAATTGACTAATTGATTTTGTTTCCCAATAACTTATTTTGGTTTATCTTTTTATTAGTTCTTATCATATTTTATAATCAAAGACGACCCCCCTTACACATGCACCGACAAATATCCATTGAACGCACCCATATAATTTATTTTGCATGTTCCAATTTGTTTTTTTTTAAAGCTAGCTAGCGGATTTTATTGTCCATATATCCAACCTTACTTTCACATCTCTTTCTCTCATATTTATTGATTTGTCTTACAGATGATAACAATGCTTGAATTTCGCTTATTCCATTTTTGTAAACATGCTCCTCTAAACTAACTAGAACTCTAGCAAAATCTAGCTATCTTAACAAGAAAAACAAAAAACTAAAAAAACAAATTAGTGGTTACATGTATGATGGTATTTTGTGCTATGTTATTTGAAACAAATTCCGCAAATAATCAAATCAATAGCAATAGTGACAAAATTATCGATAACAATAAAGGCAAACAGATTTTGGCGAATAAAAATTTGGCAAAAATTAATTCAACAATTGGTAAAAATGCTGATAACACCACCGGGTTTCGCATTGTTGCCAATGTGAATTGTGCCGCTGGCAGCAACGAGACAAACAAACAACCACCGAACCAACAACCATCCGTGGGGAGTGGTTATTTTGGCTTGGGCATACCAAAATCCCCATCATTTCATAGTGGATTAGATCAATTGGCCGATGACGGCGATGACATTAGGGGGGATGTAGTAATGCAGGGCACAACACCATCACAACAACAACAACATCAACAGCAGCAGCAACAATCCCAAACAGCGACTTCAGGCGGTGGCAGTGTTGTCGGTGTCATTGGTTGCAAATTCAAATTTACAAATATTGAAGAGATCAAGGCAAAATTAACAAATAGTTCCTCAACATCAAAAAGTGTCGTTACAAAAATCTACAATAAAATGCCAACATTGCATGTTCAAGATAGCGCCAGTAACCGTAACAGTAGTAGTAGTAGCAATAATAACAGTAATAGTTCAGCATTGCCATCATCTATATCATCATCTATGTCATCATCGACTTCCTCCCCCTCCTCCTCCAATACCATAAAAACAACAATAACAACAACCACCACACCACCATCATCATCAATATCATCATCAACAACTTCAGCAACATCTTCCTCTTCTTCTCCAATATCACAATTGTCGGCCTCTTCTGCAGCCAACATTGCAGCTGGTGGTACATCATCAATTTCACAAAATAACATAAAAATATCGATGGCCTCCTCATCGACGTCATCAGCAGCATCCCATAGCAGCAACAGCAGTGGTGCATCGGCAGCAGCAGCAACAACATCAGCTACAACAAATTCCATTTCGTCGACAACATCATCAATTGTTTCGACATTAGCTCAACATTTCAATGCGGCCACATCAGCAACACAACTCCTAACGACAGCATCATCAACACTTGGTTCAAATAATAAGGTTTGATAGAGACCCCCCTCCAACACACATTTCTACACGATTGAACGTCATGATTTTTTTGGTTTATTTGTTGTGTTAATTATATAACTGTAGTTGTTTTTTATTATTTGGAATTTGTTTTTTTTTTTTTTGTTGGAAAGTTGAAAATGAAATTAATTCATCGCTCATTCAACGGATTTCGATAGGCCTTTGATATGTTTATTAGATGGTGTATTTCGCTTCTTTATAAGTTTATATTTAAAGAGATCATTGCAAATGCCTTGTACAAGAGCATTTCCAATGGTCCTCCACCTAGCAATGTTCATTGTGAATTATTTTTTTAAAAAAAAATTCATTGCCAAAACGTTTTTTTTATCGAAAAGTTCATTTTCGATGGCTTCCCTTATCGACAAGTCCATTGACATTTCTTATGGAATATATCATTTAAAACATATTATCTTAAAGAAAACTTAATGAACAGCAAAGCGGTTCGGAAAATTTTCATTAACATTGTCCCCTTTCTATGGAAAATTCCCATTAAAAGAGACTTTTCTAATCATTTACAATGGCTTCTCTGTGAGAAAATTTCATATCAAAGATCCAGTCAAGGACTGTCCATAGACAATGAGAAAAGCTTATTCTTCAAGTAATATAGTCCTCTTTAGATACATAATTTTTTGAGGGGTTTCTATAAAAAGATCTTTAAATAGGCCTTGCCATAGGTGAAGGTTTTCAAAAAGTCTTCTTTCAAGTTAGGATAAATTTCAATTGGCCGTGAAATGGAAAACTACCTTTAAAGGATTCCGTAATTAGGAAGCTCCTAAGAAAATCTGTTAGAGACGAAAAATAATTGATTTCCTATACAAAAAAGTAATTTCAAGTGTAAGTCTTTATAAGTTTTTCTGTGACAAAACTTTTCCAATTTTTACATAAGTAACATTTTAATAGAAAGAACATAGCCTGCGAGGTCGTCTACCCGAAGAGTACATTTCAGAAGTTTTTCTTTGAGAATGGATTTTTACATTATATAGAATACCTTTCGACAGATCCAGACCTTTCAAAGTGGTTTTTTTTTGTAGAAAGTCGACATTTCAGAGGCCTCTGGATAAAATAATGGGTTTTCTAAAGAAGGCATTCTCTAAAAATATACATTTTTGTACCCTCAGCCATATGGCTAGAGAGGCTATATATCATTCGATACGGCCAAAACGTGTCTCATCGAAATAACGGTTTTAGACCTATGTCTATTTGGACCAAATTCGTTTCAGGGCATTTGATGTAGCGATGTCCGTCCGTCTGGTTGGCTCTCGGAGGGAGTATCTGATTTGATCCAAACTTGGTACATAGTAATATTAATTTCAAACTAAGATCGAGTTCGGAGATAGGCAATATCGGTCCACTCCTTCTGGTACCTCACCAACAAAATGTTAACATTTTCAAAGAAAATAATTTCCAGCACAGAAAGAGAAAGGATATTCCTATTCCGCTCCAACTTTGCAAATCCAAATATTTGCATCAGTGCTAGGTCATGTGCGTAAATGGAAAATATCGGTCCACTCCGTCCAGTACCTCCCCCACAAAGGGCCAAAATTTAGAATAATTTTAACTCTTATAAAGTGATGTAAGTGTGCAATTGTCTTCAAATTACACAAAACACCATATTTTTATTAACCTAGGGTCTTGTGTGAAGATGGAATATATCGGTGCACTCCTTCTGGTACCTCCCGCACAAACTGCCAAAATTTTGAATCTTCATGAAGCTCATAAAACATGGTTTCATCCAGACTTGGCACATCTCAATATTTCCATCAACACAAGATCTGTTTTAAAGATGGTACAGATCGGAACATTCCTTCTGGTACCTCCCCCACATAGGGTCAAAGTTTTAAATAACAAAACGCTGAAAGAAAGCGAAATAAGCATCCAAATCTTCAAATTTCACACATCCATATATATTTGCTAATGTTGTGAAAATAATATATATCTGTGAACCCCTTCTGGTACCTCACCCACAAAGGCTCACAACTTTCAATACTTTATCTGTCATAACTTGCGAAACAAGTCGGCGATTCTTTAAAACTTGCTATATCTAAATATTTATCTGAACCAGAAATCTGATAGGAATATGTAATTCAAATTATGACTTTGTATAAAAATGGATATAAATGTTCGATTTCCTTCAAATTTTGCGCCGCTCCATAGAGACACATATTTCATTTTCAACTGAACTAAAAAATCACTTGCAATTCATTTTAATTTTTCTGGAACATTTTTGTTTATATTTTGATTTATTAGTTTCCCTTTTTGCAATACAAATTCTTGATACAAATTCTTACTAATTATAATAATCCAAATTGGCAATAACTTCTATATATATATTCACATTATGTATCACATATAGTCTCCAGTTAGTGCCGCTACAGCTATTAAAAACATACTAAATGCAACAAAAAATGTGGGAAGTTCTGCGGCCAGTAGCAACAACAGCAGCGGCGGCGGCAGCGGTGGTGGCAATTCAGCAGCGGGAAATGCAAATACCAACAGCGGTTTACAATCAACATCATCATCGTCTTCATCATCATCATCACCGCCATCGGCAACGGCTTCATTATCCTCATCGTCATCATCCACATCCTCATCATCCGCTTCCTCAGCCACAGCGGCAGCTTCATCGTCCAATAGTTCATCCAACAATGGTTCTGTAACCCAATCAATAGTTAGCGGCATAAGTATATCACTGGGTATTGGTAATGCTTCCTCGTCGGCAAATAATAATGGCAAAACAGGTGGTGGTGCGGGTGTCTCACACCGAAACAATGGCAATGGAGCTGCAACATCGGCTACACCCGTATCGGCAGCAACAGCTGTTTCTCAAACAACCGCAAAGTCCTCTACAGCACCACCACCCACCCAACAAAATAACCAGCAGCTGCAGCAACAGCAACAACAAAATGGCCATGACAATGGAAGCTGTGGCAACAATGATCTAACTCCCACCAATGGCCAAGCTAACGTCTCATTAAACACCACACAAACATTGCAACAAATCACTGGCAGTCCCGGTAGAGCTAGAGATCGTAATGTCTTTCATTCGCCAAATTCATCTACGGCTGCAGTGCAATTACCATTACTACGAGGTTGATTACAAAACTATTTGAACAATTAGTCATGTTGGTTGTTTCGTTTTCGTTTTTTATTGTTTTCATTATTGTTGTGTTGTGTTTTCTCCTTATTTTAATTAAGAGTGCTGCTTTGCGTATTTTTATTCTTCCGTTTTTTCATAGCATTTTTTAATTGATTTTAATTTCGTTCGACTTGTTTGTGTGTTTCATTACTTTTTCTTTAATTTTCAAATGCCTTCTTCTCATACAGCACAGAAAGAAATACTACAACAATGGAACATACACAATGTTGTTGCTTTTTGAATACATAGTTAAAATACATAGTGTCTTAGAATTTGCATACGCGAAAATATCATTGTTTCTGGACGAAGATGTGAACCATTTCATACTCCTATGACCCCTTTCAGAACAGATTTAAAATGTCTCACATTTCGCAAATCTCAAACTCGAATTGGAAAAAACCCCTTCTTTCTTAAGAAAAATTTTGTAGCTGCATTTTGAGTTTTTCAAATATACGGCTTAGACCTAGACCATATGCATTTTGTTTTATCTGCATAAATTCGTCAACCTGGTTTATTCAAGGTAGAACTTGAACAGAACATATAAAAACATATAAAAACATATAAAAACACATAAAAATTTAATTTTCGTCTCGTTGCTCAGCGTCCCATTCTTTTTCCTGCGATTTTTTGTTAGAATATGTCCGAATATAATTTCATTCCTTTCCCCTTGTTTTCTGTACAAAGGAGTAGAACCTTTTAAAATTTTGTTTCCAGAAAATATTTTTTTTAAAATCCACAATTTTAGCTCTTTTAATTCATTATAGGAAATCTTCAGAAATCATGAGAAAAAAATGAAAAAGTTATTCTTTAAAAGCTCAATTTCTTTTAGATCTTAAGACCTTTTGACATTTTGTTCTCAGAAAATATTCTCTTGAAATCCACAATTTTAGCTCCATTTGTTCCTTGCAGGAAAATCTTCAGACATTGAGGAAGAATTATGAAAAGGCTATTCTTTAAAAATCAAAGTTATATTAGATCTTAAGACTCCATTCTTTTGGAATTCACAAAATTAACTTTGTTGATCAGTTAAAGAAATTATTCAGGAATTAAGGAATTAAGCTCCATTGGACCCCGAAAATAATCCCTGATATTAGTACTGGAGGTCCTTGGAAAGATCTTGTTGGTCCCCAAAAATGAGGGGGATTGTAAGACCGATACTTCTATAAAAAATGTTCTTTGAAAATCCAAAATTTATATTTTGTGGTAACAGCCAATGATTGCCACAAAAACAATTTAAGGTCGGAAAATCACTCAAAAAATATTTTCTTTAAATGCACGATTTTAGGTCTCAGAGTTGCCCAAATTGTTATACCCTCCACCTTCAAACGTATATTAAGGGTATTGTAAAAACCCTTAATATTTGTCGTAGACCCCATAAAGTATATATATTCATGATCAGCATAAAATTCTAAGTCGATTAAACGATGTCTGCCTGTCCGTCTGTCTGTTGAAATCAAGATACAGCCCACATTATTTGACGTAGAGCTTCAAATTTTAGCAGAACTATTTGTATTTTGTCTAAGATGGTTGGTATTGAAAATGAAGTATATCGATCCACGTTTTCGTATAGCCGCCATATAACGTTACCTCCTGATAATCGGTTTCTTGATGATTTTCGCCACATTTTCCCCACGAATTTGTCTAAAAATTGGTATTTGTAGATCATAATGGATTCTAGCTCCGGTGGTGAAACATTGTATGTATAGGTCCACGATTTTGTCTAGCCCCCCTATATAACGGTACCTCCCAATATTCGATATTTTGATGATTTTCACCACATTTTTCCACGAATCTGTCTAAAAATTGGTATTTGTAGTTCATAATGGATTCTAGCTCCGATGGTGAAAAATTTTATACATAAGTCACCGATTTTATAAAGCCCCCCTATATAACGGTACCTCCTGATATTCGGCATCTTGATGATTTTCACCACATTTTTGTACGATTTTTTCCTAAAATTTGCTATTAATGGATTCTAGCTCCGGTGGCAAGGCTTTGTATGTTAGGTCCCCGTTTGCCTTTAGCGCACATATAACGATATCCACCGACATTCGGTATCTTGATATCCTAGTCACATTTAACCACGAAATTTTTTCAATTGTGATATTTGAGAAGATTTGGTAGATGACAATATTAGAAGCATTAAATTGCCTGTATAGGTTCCCGTTTTGGTATGGCCCCCATATAACGGCCTCACCCACTTTATGGTGTTTTGAAAAAATTGAACAGGATTATCCAAACGATCTTACTGGTATTTCTAGTTTAAAGTGGAAAACGTTTGAATTCAGATACTTTTTTTCTTTACCAAATGGTGGAGTGTTTTAAAATTTCGGACGGGCCGAATTTAATTTTTTTTACTTGTTTAATTTTACGATTTATTATATTTTAAAAGATGCGATATTCGCTAAAATATTCATGATAATGTTCTACTTGCCAATCGCTGCAGAGTCCCTCAATGCATATTACAAATCTCTCAAAAAATATAAGTCATAAAAAGATAAATCTACGTTTTTTATACTCCAATAGTCTTATAGAAATAGTATTTTGAGAATTCATGACTTTGATTCTGTTGATTTCTCAATATTTTTTAAACGCCGTAGTCCGTCGTCTTTTCTCACCCAGTCCCCGAAAAAATATTATAACTCTTGTGATATTTTTTCAAAAAGTTCGAGCTTAGCACTAAATGCCATCAAAAAAAAAAAATCTTGAGAGTGTTTTCCTTGAGAATCTCAATTCACCCTGGATTGACTGAAAATTAACTGTTTTAGCATTAAAATTCAGTTAAGGTGACTCTTTCTTGGAAAATATTCCTTAATAATTACATTTTTAGTCAATTCCACAAACAAAAAAATACTTCACAATTAATCATAAAAAGGTCCCCGATATAAATTTTATAGTATTGAAAGCCATCAACAAAGTTTCCAAGCATTTTCTTGACATAGAATTTTAAACACACAAATATAACTGTCAACTTATTTTTAATCTTGGACTCAATTCTTCCATAGATTATTTTCATTCATAAAAAAATATTCCCATACAACATTGCACTGGATGTTTACACTTCATTCGTTGGTTTTATCAAAGAAAACTTGTTTCGTTTGTTCTCCTCATTAGACATTCAACACTAAATAATAATATTTGCCTATTTTAATTAACACATATTAAATACTTTTAAAGAAAAACACACACAGCAATGCTTTGCCAACGAAATTCTCTAGAGATAGTTAGGTATTAAACATAATTAGGAAATTTATAATATAATTAATAGTTAGCAATTGTGTGGCAGATATGTTGTGCTATTTTAATTAAGCCTTTAATACAAACATAGATAATATAAATTCAAAATAGATTATTAACAAATAATGCTGCCTGTAACTACATTATTAACAAAACATTGGATTATTCATCATTTATTCATTATAAATATTTTGTTTATGGGCATATACGGGCATATGAACTACCAAAATACTTGGAGATCTAATAACAACAGCAATTGAAGATTCATGAAATACTGACTTCCTTATAGCTTTGTCAATTAAGAGAAACTTATATCATTAGATTTCCCCAACTTTGCCGCCTCTCCCCCTCCCGTTGTTGTTTCTTCGTGTTCCATTTGTAAAAAAAAACAGCTATTTCAACTCATCGTCATCATCGATAATGATCATGCCCATGATGATGGTGATGATGTTGATTATATTATTGTTTACAAACTTCTGTTGTTTAGACAGACATTGCAATTGTGTTTATTTTGATATTTACTATATCAACCGTAAAATTGATAAAGTGCCAAGAATTAAAAGTAAAAAAAAAATCGAATCGAAATAAATAAATTGCATTGCATTGCAAAAAAAAAAAACACTAAAAATGTTGAGATACAGTGACGAAAGCAATGCATACATACAGTTCTACATAATTTGATGAAAAGATGATTAATTTGAAAGGAAAAGGCAGATGGGGTGACCCTTTCCCCATCTTAGTTTACATTTCAAAAAAGGGAGGATAGCGATGTGAGCCATCGGAAATTTTAAATATTCAAAAAATACACTGATATTGTTCTTATAGTATTTGGAAATTTCAGGAAATATCTATTTATGCCACCAGTCACAATTACAGAACCCATGAGCCCACATAATAAATTGCTTAAAAAAAATTCTAAAAAAATAATTTTTAAAATTTTGATAAAAAAGAAATATGTTTTAGTTATCAAAGTCCCCAAAATAGATTCTTTGAAGAATTCATGATTGTGGGTATGAAAGTACACAAAAAAAAAATCTGGAAAATCCAATCTCCAATTATATTAAATTCAAGATTAATGATTAACAAATATTTTTTTAAAAAATCCACTATTATATTACAAAAAAAAAAAAAAATATTTTTTAGAAATCCACGATTATTTTTCAAGAACATTGTAAAAAACACGATTATACATCAAAAAATATATTGTGGCTCAAAAACCCATGATTACACGTCGACAATGTTAACTATCTTCGTTTTATTATTAAAAAGTTTATAAATCCCAAAGTCTCTCGGAATTATTATTTTTAGAATACACGAGTCAAAATCTAATAGTCTCAAAATATTTTTTTTAGAACCACAATTATTGGTCTCAATGTCATTCAAAAATAGTTTTTTTTTTTTTTAAAAAGTGGAATCTAGGTCTCAATGCCATTTAGGTTTTAGGTTTCAAAGTGCCTCAAAGAAAATCTTATATGTCTCACAGCCCCTACCAAACAGTTCTAAAATAATGACCATTGTAGGCCTTTATGCCCCTAAGATTTGTTTTAAATCAAGAATATAGGTCCATAAAGAAATATTTTGGGAATCTATAGTCAGGTGTCTCAAATCCCCCAACAAATATTCTTAAAGCTCCTCATAAAATATTCTTTTAAAATTCCATTTTATAAGTCTCCAAGTCCCTCAGGGGTTTTCAATGTGACTCGAATGCCTCAAAGCTCCCTACAATACAACCTTAAAACAATCACCATTATAGGCCTTAAAGGCCGTCAGATTTTTTTAAATCAATAATATAGGCGCATCATGAAATATATTGGAGATCCATGGTCAGATTTCTCAAATTCCCCAAAATTGTTCTAAAATCTCCTCACAAATGGTGTTCTTAAAATTCCATTTTTTAAGCCTCAAAGTCCCTCAAATATGTTCTTTTAAAAAATCCATGAAATAAAAGATCTGAAAGTCTCTCGAAAATATATTTTTTTTGAATATTTACGGTCTCAAAGTCCCAAAAATATTTTTTATTAATAACCCCACGTTTGTGCGTCAATTTGCACAAAAAATATAAGTAAATTGCTACGATTTTAGGAAATTTTTTCAAAGACATTTTATTTTTTAAATCCTTGATCAAAAGTCTCAAAAAATCATTCAATTCGATTAGATGCCCAAGAGTTCCTCAAAAATATTTTTTAACCCCATGATTTAAATCTCATAGTCTCTTAAGGAAATTTTGAAAAAAATCTATGAGCAAAGGTCTCTATTTCCCCAAAGCATATTCACAAATTTCCTCACAAATGATTCCCAAAAACATCCCAAAGTTCCACAAAAATATTCTTTTGAAAATTCGCGATTAAAGGTCTGGAGGTCTCCTACCATGCATCCCTAAAAATGTACTCACATAGACCTTTATGTCCCTCAGAAAATTCTTTAAAGAATCATGATTTTAAGACAAAGAATCCTTTAAAAACCTTATTTTGAAAATCCCCGATTAAAGGTCTGAAAGTCTCCCACTAAACATCCCTTAAAATGTAATTACATAGACCTTCAGAAAATTCTTAGAAAATCACGATTTTAGGTCAAAGAATCCTTAAACAACTTTTTATAACCTCCACCATACTATGGAGGGTATATTAACTTTGTCATTCCATTTGTAACTCCTCGAAATACTCATATCAGACCCAACAAAGTATATATATTCTTGATCAGCGTAAAATTCTAAGTCGATTTAGCGATGTCCGTCTGTCTGTCTGTCTGTCCGTCTGTCTGTCTGTCTGTCTGTCTGTCTGTCTGTCCGTCTGTCTGTCTGTTGTAATCACGCTATCTTTCGAGTGAATTGAGATAGATGGCTAAAATTTTGCACACATGTTTCTTTTTCCAGTAGGCAGGTTAAGTTCGTAAATGGGCCATGTAGGTCCACGTTTTCATATAGCCCCCATATAACGGTACCTCCCTATATTCGGTATTTTGATGATTTTAGCGACATTATTCACGGGAATTGTTTCAAATCTGGCATTTGAAGTTCAAAATGGATACTACACCATAAGACGGAAAATTGTCTGTGCAGGTCCACGTCTTCGTATAGCCCCCATATAACGGTACCTCCCGATATTCGGTATTTTGATGATTTTAGCGACATTATTCACGGGAATTGTTTCAAATTTGGTATTTGAAGTTCAAAATGGATACTACACCCTAAGACAGGAAATTTTCTGTGCAGGTCCACGTCTTCATGTAGCCCCCATATAACGGTACCTCCCTATATTCGGTATTTTGATGATTTTAGCAACATTATTCACCGGAATTGTTTCAAAATTGGTATTTGAAGTTCGTTATGGGAACTACAGTCTGTGACAGAAAATTGTCTGTGCGGGTCCAGGTCTTCGTATAGGCCCCATATATCAGTACCTCCCTATATTCGGTATTTTGACGATTTTAGGTACAATACCCACCGAAATTGTTTGAGATGTGGTATTTGAAGTTCGTAATGGATGCTACAGCCTGTTACAAAAAATTGTCTATGCTGGTCCAGGTCTTCGCACAGCTCCGATATAACGGCACCTCCTTATATACGATATTTTGATGATTTTAGCTACATTATTCACTGTTTATTTCAAGTTTCGAATTTGAATATGGTAATGGCTTATGACAAACAATGCCTATGTATGTCCACGTCGTATAGACCCCAATATAACGGCTATATTCGGTATTTTTAAAATTTTAAAATTTTTTAAGGATTTTATTTTTTAAAAATTTCCAAATTCGTTGCAAATGGTGGAGGGTATTAAAAGTTCGGCCCGGTCGGACTTACTGCTTTTTAACTTGTTTTAATCTACGATTCTAGGCCACATAAAATTCAGAAAAATGCGTGCAATATTGACTGGGGCTGCCATTCATTTTTTTTTACATTTTCCCGCCTTAACGGGCCATGAGAAGGTGTTTTTTTCTTTCAAAACTTGAGAATATCAAATAAATTAATTTATATTTATAATTTAAGATTTATGATTTCTTTTTAATTTCATTCAATTTTGGGTTCCAATAACTTCTTTGAAATATAATTTTTTCATTTACTTTTTATATATTTTTATTTCACATTTTTTCATATTATAATATTTTTTGTTCCCTCTGCCCACAGAAACTCCTGCCAATGAACGCGAGGAATTATTCATACAGAAACTAAGACAATGTTGTACACTGTTCGATTTTTCCGAACCGTTAAGCGACCTAAAATGGAAGGAGGTTAAACGGACGGCTTTGCATGAAATGGTTGAGTATTTGTCCAACCAAAATAATGTCATTACCGAAGCAATTTATCCGGAAGCAATAAATATGGTAAGACCACTTGCCATAGAAAATTGAGAATAATTTCGATACGCATTTGTATTTTTTTCAGTTTGCTGTAAATCTCTTTCGCACATTACCGCCTTCTTCGAATCCAAATGGTGCCGAATTTGATCCCGAGGAAGATGAGCCAACATTGGAGTCATCATGGCCTCATTTACAATTTGTTTACGAGCTATTTTTGCGTTTCCTAGAATCGCCTGATTTTCAACCCAACATCGCCAGACGTTATATTGACCATCAGTTTGTGTTGCAATTGTTGGATTTGTTCGATTCGGAGGATCCGAGAGAACGTGATTTCCTAAAGACTGTTTTACATCGTATTTATGGCAAATTTTTGGGTTTGAGGGCATTTATACGCAAACAAATCAATAATGTGTTTTACAGGTAAAAATCGCTTAATAATTTAAATAATATCCAATCTCAAACTCGTTTTGTATTTCAGATTCATCTACGAAACTGAACATCACAATGGCATTGCTGAACTTTTGGAAATTTTGGGCAGTATAATCAATGGTTTTGCTTTGCCTCTGAAAGAGGAACACAAACAGTTTTTGCTCAAAGTTCTGTTGCCATTGCACAAGGCAAAAAGTCTATCGGTTTATCATCCCCAGCTGACCTATTGTGTGGTACAGTTTTTGGAAAAAGACCCCAGCCTGGCAGAACCAGTCATTAAGTAGGAAAACTTCAGAACACATTTATATAAATTTTAAATTAACAATCAATTTTCGATATTTGTTTTAGGAGCCTTTTAAAATTCTGGCCCAAAACCCACAGCCCCAAGGAGGTAATGTTCTTAAATGAACTGGAAGAATTGCTCGATGTCATTGAGCCGGCCGAGTTTCAAAAAGTCATGGTTCCATTATTCCGACAAATTGCCAAATGCGTTTCATCGCCCCACTTCCAGGTGGCCGAGCGGGCGCTCTACTATTGGAACAACGAGTATATCATGTCCCTAATATCGGACAATTCTCAAGTCATTTTACCCATAATGTTTCCTGCCTTGAATCGTAATTCGAAAACGCATTGGAATAAGACCATCCATGGCCTAATTTATAATGCCCTGAAATTGTTTATGGAAATGAATCAACGTTTGTTTGATGAGTGCAGTAAAAATTATCGCCAAGAAAAGCAATTGTAAGTAATCAAATTGAATAGTTTCCCCTCCTCGAATTGTTAAAATGTTTTTGTTTTCCAGGGAACGTGAAAAAATGTCTCAACGCGAAGGCCTTTGGCAACAGGTTGAATCGATGGCCAAAAGCAACCCAGAATGGCATAAACTATGCGGTCAAATGGACAATTTAAGTATTTCAAGTAGTCAAAATGATTACGATGATGATAATGATAACTTAGATCTTACCTACAAATTGGATTATGATGACCGACAACAGCAACAACAACAGCAGCAGCAACAACAACAGTCGCAACAAATGCAAAACCATAGTATAGCACAGGAAAATCGTGAGGTATGTTAAAAATGTTTACAATATAGAACTTGGCAATATATAAATATATATCATATCCAAAATCAATTCCGATCAATAACTAACCATTATTAATTAGTATTATGTTGTGTTGGTAAAGTAGAAAACAAAAATATTCAAGTATTGAAAATTAAGTTACTGCTAAACAAATTAAGGAAATGTTTCTTCATTCCATTCCTTGGATTTTTTAAACGGACTTTAAAGGGATGAGTCTTTGACTTTCTGAAGCGTCTATTGAGGAAGTAGGCGAGGGTTTTTAAAGGGTCAATCCGAGAAAAAAAAACGTGGAATTTTTAAGATATCTTTTAAGGAAGAAGTCTTGGATTATTTAAGATGTCTATTGAAGAGGAAGACGCGGATTTTTGAGGAGGAAATCGTGGATTTTTAAGATGTCTGTTGAGGAGGAAGTCGTAGATTTTTAAGATATCTATTGAAGAGGAAGTCGGGCATTTATTTAATGTCTACCTACGACCTCGATTTTTAAGATGTCTATTGAGGAGGAAGTCGTCGATTTCTAAGATGTCTCTTGAGGAGGAAGTCGTGGAACTTTGAGATATCTATTGAAGAGGAAGTCGTGAATTGATTTAATGTCTAATGAGGAGGAGTTCGTCGATTTTTAAGATGTCTATTGAGGATGAAGTCGAAGAGAATTTTTATTATTCTATTAATTAAAAAGTGTTGTGTATTTTCAATGGACTGTCCAATGAAGAATCCGTGTATCAAACAAGGGGAGTCTAAAAACGAAGTCGTTTATCCTTCAAGGGGAGTTTAAGGGGGAAGTCGTGTATTCTTTTAAGTTAAGGAAAATAAATCGTATATGAAAGAAGTCGTGTATGCTATAATGGAGTGTCTATGGGGAAAGTCGAGATTCCTTTGAGGACTGTGAGTAATTAATTTTAGTAATTTTTTAGGTAGCTTCTATTCGAGAAAGACGTTGTAAATTTTAAAGGCGTCTAAAGTTGTTGTGGATTTTAAAGGATAAGTCGTGTTTTTTGGGAGAGGTTGTGTATTCGTTTAAGGGTGTCTAAGGAAAAAGTTGTGTAGATTTATTAGACAGAGTAATATGCTGTCTATAAAGCCGAGACTATGTTGTCTAAATACCCTCAGACATACAGGGTGAGATAAAAAAAACCTGCAGCAAAGTCGAAAGCCATAACCTTTACATTTTTTTCTTTTAAATTTTATTGAATGAAAGCAAAAATGTCGGAAATAACATTAAATTTTAGAATAAGTTTAGATTTGTTCGATTTGTACACCTTTGGCACGAATTATGGCCTTCAAACGGGCAATGAAACCGTCACACGCTGCACGAATGTTGCTCTGCAGTATTTTGACCCATTTTGCTTGAGGTGATCGATACTTTGGTATTTTTCATTGACCTCTTTGGCAAGTAAACACGAGCATTTCGTTTGTTTACAAACTGCTGGACAACTAATGTTTTCTCAACGGACAGAACCAAATTCGACAGTTCACCTCTTTCGGCCAAGCGAAGCATTTCTTTAGTTCTCTTGAGTCTATTTTCTTTCTGTTGCGGTTGGGGTATAAGTTCTTGCACTTTTTGGCATTTCAATGGCTTTAGCCCGAGATCAATTTTCAGTATTTGCCGAATGGAATATTGCGATATGTTCAGCTCACGATCAATTTTTCGTGCTGCGGACTGCGACGCGAGTTTCGATCAAGTCGCTTCTTTACTTTTCGAACCATTTCTGCTGATGTTGCTGTTTTCTTCCGTCCACTTTCTTGACGTCGGGCTACGCTACCAGTATCACCAGGTAACAAGTGATGGTACGAGACACAAGATTTTTGTCACATTTAAATGCTAGGGTGTTCTAACGATAGCCACTTGTGGTTTTTCAGCCAAATAAAAAGAAATCACACTATCACGCTTGAATTCCATCACGAATATCTTTTTTTCTGGAAAATTCTCACCAAAATGCTTTTGTACGCTTGGAATAATTTTAACAGCTGTCGGACGAGTGGCTTAGAAATGACAGCAGTCTGAAGTTGGTTGCAGTTTTTTCATCTCACACTGCCGACAAAACCGACTGATATCTTTTTTTACTTGTTTTGAAGATGTTTAAGTGGGATATCTAAAAATGTTTTGCAGGGGAAATTCGCGAACTTTAAAGTGGATTTTGGATGAGAAAAACCGAGGATTGTCTTATAAAAATTCTATAGAAATACTGAGCTTTTACCTTCTTTAAATGGTTTTCAAAGTCAGAATATCATCTTAATAAAACCGAAATAGTTAAAAAAATACTTTAAATAAACTTCAACAAATCCTCCTTTTTAAAATTCATAAAAAATCCACCAATGTTTATTTTTGATATGACCTTTGGCCTATACAAAACCTCTCTAAACTTTATTACAATTTTCGTAGGGAGCTTCTTTTAAAAGCCAAACATAAAAAAAACATAACCTCACTTCAATACTTGAATATTTTTGTGTAGCTATCCTTTTTATATTGTAGCTAACTTACTAAATTCTTTCCATTTATATTTTTTGTGTATTGTATTGTAGTTTTTTTTTTCAAAAATAATCTCTACTTTTTTCCTAATCTGTGACTAACTTCTTGAGTTTTTCTCTTTGTTTTTAGCGTTACGTAGCTTTATTAGAGTAAAAAGAAACAAACAAAAAAATATTTCTTTAAATGTTGTGTCTTGCCTTGTCATAAAATACAATGTAGAACATCTTCTTCTTCTTTTTGTAACAAATATTGCTAATATTAACAAAAGGCGCTTTGTACTGCTACTATATCTATATATTTAAAAATGTAAACTTGTGGTATTACTCTATATACATATATACAAACATATAACTCCCCAAAACCCCTCCTTTGTTTTGTGTTTGAAAAATGTATGTATTTATGTTAATTTATAAAAAAAAAACACTAATTTTGTTTGTGTATTGTGCTACTTGGTGTGAACAACAACAAAAACACATTTCAATTCTCAGAAATCGCCACGTAATTTGGATAAACCATTGCTAAGACGAAAATCTGATTTGCCAGCTGATAGCGGCATTGTCCATGCTCTATTTGAGCACAAGAGGCCAGATGAATATTTGAAAACTCCGCCAGATGCAAATGCGTGTTAAATGCCAGCACACACAGCTTGGCAAAAGAGAAACAAAAAAACATTTTTTTGAAACGTTAAAGACGGACGGCTGCTCTAGTGAAACATGAAACCTATTCCAATTTTATTACACCAAAAGACATCTTCTGTTTTCTTAAAACAGCAGCAGAACGCAGGCGTTAGAGACAAACAATACGTTGCATATTAAGCCAAAATCAATAACATTCAACAGTAAAACAAAAAAGAAAAACAAACAATGATTAAACTTTATTTTTTTTCTTCTATATAAGCAATGCACTTATAACACACCAACCACACACATACACCGCCCATCTCCCTTACACACAAAGAATACAATACAAATTCCATATATTATTTTCAATTTATATCAATATAACAAATTAAAGAATATATAAATATTTTTTTTTTAAAACAACAATGGAAACAAAATATTTTATTTTTAATACAACCAAAAAAAATGAATTACATATTCAATTAAATACATAGGTTATATTGTATTTAAAAAAAATCCAATTGGTCATATTTTGGGTTATGGACAACAGAACTTGCAGAAATTCTAGACGGGAGTTTTTAAAAATATACCCACTTAAGGTTGAAGGTGATTTTTTGATCGAAACATTTCTTTTTTAATTGGATTTATATATTTCCATCATCATTTATTTGAAAGTAAATCTGTTTACATAGATCAGTGTCACGGAAATCAACTAGTTTCAATGGCGTTGCCAACTGCTAAGTTTACCGTTTGTAACAGTCAAATCTATTCGTCATTTTGAGAGCAGTACTCACTATCAAACAAGTAGGAGACACATATTCATTGGGGGAATCAGCTTTAGTACAATGGCGTTGCCAACTGATAAGAGCACATATCACAGGAGACAAATGCATTTATCAACTCAAGTGGTGTACACACCATCGATCAAGTTGGGCATTCAACAATTCTTAAGTTTTTTTGGCATTCTAAAGAAGAAATAAAGCTATATTTTTTAAGAACAAAAATAATGGGTTTTGACCATAATAAATTATACATTATGAAATTGTATTTGCCGATTTTTTTTTTAAATTTATATTTGTCCTAGAAGCATGATTTAAAATGTTATTAATTTTTGCTCTACATTTTTTTCTAATAATGCATGTTAAATAATTGTGTATTTTTGTGGACATTTTTTTCCGTTTTAATTAAAAAACAAATGGATATGCAAACATTTCTGTCAGCCGCCATTCCAGCTACGCGGCTGTGACCACCAACAACACAAAGAAAACTACAAATTTCAAAACACAATTACAATTGAATGATAATATTTAAACAAAAAAAATCTTCTCTTTTTCTTTTTATTTTGCAGTGAAACAAATATTATAGGAGTTACATACAATATTTTATTAACTTTAACACATTATTAAGGAGAGTTTTATTATTAGCTATGAAAAAAGAAATGGTTAATTTATTTGTTACAACATGTAAACTCTATATAAATATTAAATAATAACTATACAGTATAATAATAACTATCACAAACACACACACTGGAACACAGACACACACATATATGAATATATATATTTAAATATATGATGTGTAGTATGTATGCATCGTGCAAAACTATAAACAAACCGACAACAACAACAACAATGTGTATATGCTGCATAATAATAATAATAATAATAGATAACAATAATACAATATATATTAATTATTAAGCTAAAAGCAAAAGAAACCTAAAAACTGATGGTAAAGAATAAACATAAGAAACAATACAACAAACAAACAAACATACATATACAAAACCAGAACACAAAATAAACTATATTATAATAATAATTATTTCTTAAGAAAAGATTAATTGAAATCATAAAAAAAGAAAATATACACACACAAAAATACGTGTCAACACTCTGTTGTAAATGCTTTTTTATAAAAACAAATAAAATGTATTAATGAAAACAAAACAAAAAAAATCACAAATACTCTATATATACATATATGTATTATTGACGAAAATAAACGGTACTTGTATATTTATAAAAAAACTTATATTATCCTAACATCATTTTGAATGTTGTGGGTCATCATGGCATAATAAGTTGAAAAAAATCTAAGACAGCGCGTTCTTTTGCAAGAAAAGCTACAAGGTCCTGTTTTTAAAAATTTTAATAAAAAGTAACTTTTTTCACAAAATACGAAGTTTACAAGAATAAAAATATTGTATCGTGGCGCTGCCAACTGCCAAAATAACAAAACACAACTATACTTCAACTAAAGTAGAGTACAGAAAATCGATCAGCTTGACAACTGATTTTCTTATAGAAGAATATAGGTAGATGCATCAACGCTTGGGAACATTGATATGTCAACATTTTTAAAATGTTTTTTTTTTTCGAAAATAAGTAATTTTTTGTATTTTTTCTTATACGACGCCAATCGGAGGTTGTTAGATATGAGAATTTCAACAACTCTTACAAATTTCAATAATTTTTCATTAAAAATTTTTAGTTTCAAAATTAGTTTGACAGTTCATTGTTCCAGCAGCTGTAAACATTTTTCCATTTACTGCAGTTCTGGAACAGACCATTTTACAGCACGCGTGTTTTCCAACGTCAAATTCTTTGTTATAGAAAAATTATACGTGGTTAAAAATTTGTATGTAAACGTACGTTTACCCACAAAATTAAGGTTTTTCATGGCTCTACCTCGTCAACCCTACTTTAAAAGTGTCAAGAACATGGAATGGTAGAGGCTAGACACATTGCTTTATGGAAAAAAGTTTATGTGAGAAATATATAGAGACGCTGCTAACATCCGAAACATGATAGCATAATAACAACACAATTACAGAGCAGAACTTTGAAAAAAAAAAAACTGTTAAAATTCACTTAACATAGGTAAGTCTGTTTGTATATTTTGAAACTGGTTTTAATTTTGCATTAAGATATCCCAAATACTGAATGCTGTCCAAAACAAACATAAAATTACTTTGTCATGTGAACCTACCATCAATTGATTTGTCGCTCGTTTAAAGTGAATAACAGACCTTTCAATGGACGAAATGCGTTTCTAATGCCCTGTACAGCAAATTTTTATCGATCTTCTAGAACCCTACTGAATAATTATTTTTTGATTTTCACGTTTCTCACGCATCGCTTCGTTCACTAGCCTTCTTTATAACTGTGACGGCGTTTTCTTAAAATTTAAATGGCTTTGTAATCCGTGTGTACTCACGACTGGTCAGAACCACATTAAAAACAAAAAATATAAATAATAAATATTGCCATATGAACACGTTAAAAAAAGTTAACGGCGTCAAAATGACTACCTAAAGCCGGCCTCGAGTTGAAGGAACTTACTCCCCGGTTCATTTAATGAATGTAGCCAGCGGTTCGATTTCCTCATGTCTCATTCGTAAACAACAGAGGTCCCTCGGGGATTTTGCTTTCTCGTTCTTTTTTATCGGGCATTTCATTTTGATTTCTTATTTGTTCCGTTGGGGACGTCCCACGTTTCCCAGGCGCTCATTCGATTTGCTCTTCAAAGTCCATTCAATTTGCGGTTTAATTATGCTTAGCATAAATGAATTAACATGTAGAGTTTGTCTGCATGAACAGCAGGTGCTAATCAATGTCTTCGATGAGCTAGAAGACTTGGAAACTAGTCTTAGCTCGTTGCTTGAAAAATGTGGTGGCATACAGGTGGGTTGTTGTCATTTCAGCTTGTGGAGGAATGTGAGGCGACTACAACATATTTCCCATTTTAGGTTGAAAACGATGATATATTTCCGAAATATCTCTGTGAAGAATGTACCCGAGAACTTTTAATTTCGGCTAAATTTCGAGATAAATGTGCCAAATCAAAGGAAGTCTATGAAGGACTTTTGAAGGAGGGTAACGTTAATAATAACAATGAAGACGATTTAGAAGAAAATGAAAGCTGCAAGGAACAGAATATGGCCTATTCCACAGAGGAGCCGAAGGAAAACAATTTTGAAATGACCGAGGCTGACCATGAGGAAACCAATGGCGATTTGTCAACCTTGATTAATCCAGACAACTTGGAGGAGCCCATTATTGAGGAAGAAGTTGTGGATGTTGAACAATTCACACATCAATCCGAGGAAATTATACAGGAAGTAGAAGAACATAATGATGAAGTTGTTAATACCTTTGAAAATCCCCATGATATGGTGATAGAAGAAAATACCCCTAGCATTAGTTATGAGCCAAATACGAATGATTTCGAAGTTCACATAGACCTCTCAAATAGCGCATTCATTAAGTCAATGCCCATCAGAGTGAAAAAGCAAAAATCCTATACATGTGATATTTGTGGAGCGGCATTTGTTCAGTCGATTAATCTGCGTAAGCATCTACAAAAAACACATGCGCTCACACAATGTTATGCGTGTACGATATGTGATCATTGGTTCTCATCGGAAATGGGATTATTGCAACATGCCAAAGATTGTAAGGAGCCGTGTTCCGATGAAGAGCTAAGCAGTGAGGAAAAGGGGAGAAAAGTACAAAAATCGAATCTGAGCAATGAGCATATAGAAAACGACAGAAGATGTGTTTATTGTGAGCGAGTGTTTCAAACCCCTTTTGCTCTGCGAATGCATTTGCGAACACACACTGGCGAGAGGCCCTTTCAATGTCAGTATTGTGATAAATCATTCAAAACCCAGTCGTCACTGAATTCCCATGTTAAAAGGTAAAAGATTTTGGGATTTGAATTATTTCAAGCATACACTAATGAGATATATTCACAGACACATAGGCCAAGCAGATTTTGTGTGTTCGATTTGTGGCAAAGCATTTTATGAACGGGGCAATCTAGATGTCCACATGCTGACACATACCGGAGAGAGGCCTCACTCTTGTACTGTGTGCCAGAAAAAGTTTACGCGGGTATTTCTGCTGGAATTGCACATGAGAACACATACCGGCGAAAAGCCATATCCTTGTAGTTTTTGCGACAAAAGTTTTCGTCAAAGATCCGACTGGAAAAACCATCTAACCACCCACACTGGAGCAAAGAAACACAAATGCCAGTTTTGTCCGAAGAGTTATATGAAAAGAGCATCTCTTGAGCAGCATATGCGAACGCATTCGATACTGCAAATTGATGCGGATAATTTAATTGAGCAGTCTGCTGGGGTAGCTGGTCTCTCTGGCGACATGGACGTTTTCGGCGATTTTATAGAAAATGAAGAAGATTTTCAAACAAACGAAGTGACATAATAAAGGCTTTATTCCGTATTATCTGCAAAGTATTTGTCAATTCTTTGGCGTAAATCAGTTTTCTCATTGTCATCACAAAATTCAGCAGCTATGGCATTTATGCACAAGCCATGAATATTGTTTCGATTCAGTGAAAATACCTTAGAAGCTATGGCCAATTCTTGACTAAGCGTGCTATCAAATACCCCACAATCGTCAGTACAAATAACGCTGCGTATGCCATTATCATGGAGTCGTTTAAAATGATGCATATCATAGTCCTTTACTGTTCCACACTTAACGTTGCTGGTCAGGCAACATTCTATGGTAATATTTTGTTCTTTACATTGCTGCATTTGTTTGAGGGTTAGAAATGTGCCATGGCCACATCTATCGAATTGAAAATCCAACATCTCCTGGGCTTCATCTTCATTGTCAATTTCAGCACAATGTAAGGCTAGGTGTAAATCCGCCTTTTTGGCCTTTTCCAATGATGGGAGGAAATCTTTAAAGTGGCCCTTAGCCGGGTTACCACTCAGATCCATTCCCCTAACAATGGTGGGATATTGACTCTTCATTTCAATGGCCAAATTTACAATTTCTTCGGCCGCATCTAGACCTTGGGAGCGGTCAATGGAGATTAATAGTTTTACAATTATCCCGTCATAAGCTTCTCTGGATGCTTGTATTGCCTTCAAAATAGTTTCCAAATACTCTCTGCGTGTCATGTGCTCATTGTTTTTGGGAGTTGTTCTCAGTTCCAAGTAGATAACATTATCGCGGGCAAAGTCTCGTATGACCATTTGCGTGGCTAATTGAAGACCTTTTCTGCTGGATGTTAGCTCATGCATAAATGCAAATTTTTGAAAACATTTCGATAGCTTATCAGCGTCCATTTCTTCTGGAAATGTTGTAAATTCTTGAATGCGTTTTAAAAAATCCGAACTGTTTTCTCCATACAGCTGTAGTCCTAGTTCACGAATTGAATCCATTTTCAATGAGCCATTTAAATGAGCATGAAGCTCAATTTTGGGCATGTTTTCAAAAAATGAAGGTTGCATCTTGAATAAGGTATAGTTTATGCTGATTTCTTTATTTTTCCAGAATATATCAGTCAAAGTTGGTCTTC